GGCAACTCCAGTCCTCAGGGACCTCATTGGTGTCACACTTTTGCCCCAGCTAACCCACCTCACTCCAATAATCAACTAATCATTGTCTTCAGTTTAGAATTGGAATCAGTTTAAATCAACCTTGTTTGCTAGGGATGGGGAAAAAGTGTGACACCACTCCGGCCCTTGAGGACTGGAGTTGCCCATCCCTGCATTAAGGTGTCTGGAATATAATGAACGTGGCAAAAACAAATGTTGACATGAATGCATTTCTATAGCTTACAAAATGTTTTTTACAACGGTGGGGGAGTGCCGAGATGGCGGCGCGGTGGCTTCAAAACAGCTCCCCGTCAGTCATCTAGCGTATATATAAATCATTGGTCAGGCCTCTGCATCAACTCCATTTAGGATTTAGGAGCAGGCTAGATGTTGCCACATTTCCTAATCGGTAAGGACAGAGCTGGCAGTACTCGTAAAAGCACCAGAAATGACTGTATCATGGACATGTATGTGAACCAGAAGTCCTGATACTGCTCCATGTACAACACTTGGAGACTGGGGGTGGCCGCCTGCACTGGAGCAGAATTGTGCAAAGGAGAGGTAGACAGAGGGGTACTTACTAAGCTGGTGAAGTCAGGCTGAGGTGCACACCAGTCCAAAAATTTATGATCTTAGACATGTCTAGTCTTGGGGTAGTTGCCACCAAAACAAATCAACATTATCACCTACCAACCATTCTCTTTTCTAACATTCTTCATTTTGCTATGTTTGATTGTGATATCAGTACATTTAAATGTAATCGTTTAAAAATATATATTTACCATGGCAATGGAATAGAATGGGTTCTCATCACTCGTACTAATCCATAGAATTAGGAATTAGAATAGTAATTTATCAGGATCGCTAAAATAGAGGCACAGTTGAAATTCACTTGAACATCCAGAATAATAATTATTATTTGGTGAGTGCTTATATTTGTCCTATTTCACACATGTACAAGTGTGTATTATATGCATGTGCGAATTGGAAATTCATTTTTTGCATATCCCAACTCTCCCTGAGACACCCTCGGAGAGTGGGGTCAGGGCCAGGGTCTGCCATTATCAACGGCGACCCCGGTGCAATTAGGGTTAAGTGCCTTGCTCAAGTGCATGTCAACAGATTTTTCACCTTGTCGGCTCGGGGATTGGAAGTAGCAACCCTTCAGTCTAACCGCTAGCCGACCTGTCGCCCTCTTCCACAGACACAAACAGTAATATAGAGTAATTAATCAATATTCAAACTGTCCCACCAATATGGGATTCTATGTAATTCTATAGATGGCAACCTGTTGCCATACTATTCCAGTAGAGAGATATTAGAAATTATAGACCATACCAGTCAGTATAACAGTATTCTATTTTCAAGCATGCTTTTAACATCATCTTATTGTGAAATTAAGCAAGAGTGAATTCACTCTGGACAAAAATAATTAAAGCCCTCCCCACTACACATATGTGTGTGTGTTTGTGTGCACACTTCTGAACACCAAACAGAAATTCAAAACTCCAATTTATTTAGCAAAAAATGTTTAATCTCTCCTTGATGCGTTTATTTACAAGTAGTACATCTGCAAAATAGGAAATAACACCATATTTACATAATGAACATTAACCTGCACACTTGTGACAGTTGCTTCAAGTCAAACTCTTAAAAATGTATCAGAATTATTGTAAGTAGGAAAAACTCCTCTGCCAGTTTGTCTGAAATTGATCGATGTGTACTTTATTGGATCCTATGCAGTTTTCATTTGGAAAATGTACAGCTACTGAGATTTTGCCACAATTGGAAGAAAATAAATGAGGAAAATAAATTATCAGAATCTTCTCAAACCAGGGCTTGGGAAGGCAATAGTATGAGCAGGCATGACTGGATGGGTCATTTTCGGACAGATTCCCAGACCACAATTAAGCGTGGACTAAAAATCATGCCCATTTGAAAATGTTCCATTGTTCTTCTGAAAGATCTTTTTAGTCCAGGAATAGTCAATATGGGTTCAGGAAACTGCCCTAAACTGTTTGGGCGTAAACGGTTCATGGTCAGCTAACGTGAGTTGATGAGAGATGGACCTTAAGCGGTCACAACAGTTCATAACATGTATGTCGACAGATATAACCATGTTATATTGCATGAGATGGTCAACCAAACGTCAACTGTTTTCTTATTCACGCTTCGTAATGTGGGGATAGCCACAAACCACTTTGACAGTCACTATGCTGTTCCAATGACGGTCTCATTTCAGGCTGCGTCAAGTCTTAGCATCAGTTCCTCCTGATCACATCAAAAGGCCATGATGCTACTTAATGGACATGCTATACATTGTACCACTTCAATGACAACACAAAACATTCGCCATACAAATAAACAGGGACAAATCATGAGATGGGGAGGGAAGAAGAAGCAAAATTATGAAATCTCAGTAGGAACCTTCTAGAAGCAGATCAATTGAAAACTCAAGGCTGTAACATTGAAACAACAACACAGAGAGAAATTCTCCAAACAACAGAGGCAATTTCCTGAGAAATTGAGAATTCAAAAAAATAAAATAAAAAAAAACATGGCAGTGATGGGAGAAGCACACATTAAAGAGTTTGGAAGGGGCACTGAAAGATATAGTCGCAGCAAAAAAGGGAAAGTTGTGTACTCAGGTCATATTTGGGGAGTTTTTTTTTTGCAGTGCGTACGGTAGTTAAAAATGGATGATTATGTCAAGACTCCTTCTAAATGTAATGCTTTTTCACCAACAATTTACTAGTCAGGCACACAGTTGCTTAAAAAGGAACCCTGTTCTGTTTGAAGAAGCTAACTTTGGAGTGTTGTTTGGTCCAAGCACGCTAGTATAAGACACATTTACGGCGTCCATATTAGGAGAGCGTCACACTTATTTTGAGTCTGACACTGTCCTAATATGGACGCCGCATACGTGGTCCCTATAAGGGTTCTGTTTGGCTCTCAAAGAATCACCTGTATAGCCTGGTCCCAGATCTGTTTGTGCGGTCTTGTCAACTCCTATGGTCATTGTCATGCCAAATGTTTGGGTAGACATAACAGATACGGGACCAGGCTAGCACCTGTATATTAACGGTCCGATACGTAGAGAAAGATACAACAGGAACGCAGTACAGCTGTATACATCAATGTCTACATCCAAAATGGCACCCTATTCCCTATATAGAGTATTCGTTTTGATCAGGGCCGTAGTGTACTATACAGGTATTAGGGTGCCATTTGAGACGTACCAAGGTGTCATGTCTATTTACGGGGTGCTTTGTTTTTATTTCTGTACAGAGGAGTGTGGGAAGGAACCTGGCATACAGTGAATTGTAAAAGCATTTATGATATAGTAAAACGATATCGCTGATGGTTTAAAAAATAAGATATGGATTAAAGCAGCAAGTCACTGATTCCATCTGGAAAAGACACAGATGGTTATCTGATGTGATATTTTACACTGATCGTGGAGATCAGAAAATAAACCTTATGTACGGTACTTAAACTTCAGATAAACCAAAGACATCTTCGTCTTCGTCATACTGTGGAACAATTTACACATTGTTGCCAAAAGCTTAATTTCATCATCATCATCATCATCAAATAACTAAAGTAAATACAATTTACAAAATCAAACATCAACAAAAATACATTACAGACCACAGTTTGGTTTTCGGCAAGCAGAGAAAACAGAAGAAAAAAATTCAAACCTCCAAAACTTCAAAAACAGAAGAGAGAGAATTAAAAATCCTCTCAAGAGAAGAGAGAAGTATTGAAAAACAGCTTAAGCCACACATGGCAATAGGGCTTGTTTAGATAGAAACAATGTCCAGGGGCGCTAAGGGATTACTTAGCCTTATGTTGCTAATGAGTGGAGGGGGCCTCCCCCCTCTACAGACCAGACCCCCCTTTGGGTGAGAGCTAAAGCCCCAGCCTGTCTCCGATCTCTGGATTAGGAGAAAAGAAGCAGTCTTTACCACACTACCATCACCTTGCTTATTATCTGCAGAATAGCATTGAGAAGAGATGAGCGAGAAGGGCCCAGGGCTGGAAAAGGCTTTCTGTCTTTCCCCACTTTGTTGTTTCAGACTAAGAGGCTCAGTAAAACCTTATCTGACCCAATTTAGCTATTTCTTTAACCCTTATTCAACCAGGTAAGACATCAGATGTGGTAATGCTAACTGGTTATGGGGTAGCCTATAGATTGTTATTGGTTCAAGTAGTGCAATGCTCTCCATTGGTCAACCACTGTAGGACAAGCTGTCAAATTCTTTAGCCCTGGAAGATGAACATGAACCTTCATACTAGATTCCATCTGAACTGGAAAAGAAGCAATGCTTGCGTGAGTGTGTTTGCTTGTCAAAAACTGAGATTGCAACTTTCTCATACAGAAAAGTGACAATATTATGGGATGGCCTTCTTATGGTAGCCCTAAGGGGCAAAGTACCTTCCTTTCTTTTATTACTTCAACAATTATTTTTCAGTCACTAAGCATGTTCATATTTAAATCATACGGTAGCACATTCCATCTAATAAAATGTCTTTGCACTAAACAACATTCAAAGAAAACATGGCACAGTACAACTTTTTTGTTTCTTTTTTTCGTTCGTTTTTTACTCTTTCTACCTAGATTTTTTTTTGCTGGAAATATCAAATCAAAGTTTCGTTGTTGATGTTTTTTGTGTTTTTTTAATTGTGTTTGTCGGTTAAAAGCTGAAAAATGTTTTAACCATAATATTCATTTCTTAAAAAACGGTAGTTGTATTTATATATAATATCTATATAGTCTTCCTTTGTAAAGTTTTTGTAAATTGTGCAAATTCAGCAGTAACACAGGTGGCTAGAGATCACATAGTGGGTAGTTTATTACAAAAAATAATAAAATAAAAAAATGGGAGAAAAAAAATTCAAGTCATTGATCTTCGACTCCTACAGGAGACATGTGACCCGAGGAGCTTATCTCCCATTGGCTCCGAGGATGCCAAATAATGTTATGTCCAGTTTGTGACGCCAAAATGGAATTCCATTTCAAAATGTCCCATCCTGGCTATACGAGACATGGCTTTGATGACACCAAAACTCAGGAAAACCGACAGAAAATAACTAAAACCATGACAACAGCGACGATAATCAAAATGCTTTTCGGTGATGCTGTCTCTCGGTGTGTGTGCGACGAAACATACAGTGCCCTGGTCTGACACACACATATAGACCCGCATTTACACACACACACACAGGCCCGCCCAGTACTGCTGAATCCCCCCTGTTCTGTCCTTTGCAGTAACTCCATCACATGTTTTAGAGAGGGGGGATTGAAAACCACGCTGTCTGAGTTTAATTTCCTCTGGGTGAGGAGAGAAAGAGAGGAAGATGGAGAAGAGGAGGAGAGTAAGGGTCAGTCCCTCAGCTGGCCAGGGCCATTGTGTTGATGACCTGCTCCAGCTTGCTCCTCAGTCTCTGCCTCCGTGACTGCTCGTCCCTCTCCAAAGCCGTAAGAATCTGAGGATAGACAGAGACAGACAGACAGAGAGAGAGAGACAGACAGACCGAGAGACAGAGAGAGAGAGACAGAGAGACAGAGAGAGAGACAGAGAGAGAGATAGAGAGAGAGAGAGAGAGAGAGAGGGAAATATACATATGGGTGGGGTGAGAGCAAGGAGAGAGAGGGCAAGAAAGCGAGAGAGAGACAAAATGCGAGAGAGAAAGAGGGAGAGAGAGAGAGAGAGGGAGGGGGGGAACAGACAGATGGGTGGGGTGAGAGAGCAAGGAGAGCGAGGGCAAGAAAGCGAGAGAGAGACAAAATTTGAGAGAGAAAGAGTGAGAGAGGGAGAGGGCGAGAGAGAGAGTGAGAGAGGGAGAGGGCGAGAGAGAGAGAGAGGAAGGGAGAGAGATAGGAAGGGAGAAAATACGCAGTGAGAAACATTAGCTTTTACAAAAGCAGTAGTTGAGAGTGACAACTGAGCAGTTCTTCAAATCCAAAGTAGGGTGCAATCCCTTCTAAATAAACAAACAGAACAAAAATGGCTGCCATTGTCCTCACCTCGTCCTTGTACTTGACAATGTAGGAGTAGATTTCGTGCAGGGCGCTCATGCTGTTGAACTGGCTGAGGTGGAGCCGCGACTGCTCCGCCAGGTACGCACTCATGTCCTGGTCACTGATGACGGGCATCCGCGAGATATCTGAGTAGTACCTGAGAGAGAACGGGGGATGGAGAGAGAGAGAGAGAGAGAGAGAGAGAGAGAGAGAGAGAGAGAGAGGGAGGGAAGGAATGACGGTGCGAGGGTGGGGGGAATCTTTAAGCAATCACTCTGTCAATCTTTAACTTACACATATCAATTGACCAATGAAAGCAAGTGAGTTGAATTAAGGCAAGCCAAGTTACCAAGCGAGTTCCACGCTGCCAAATGGCAACAGTGTTACTTTCCTACCCTAGTTTTCATTTTCAACCTAATCCATAATGGCCGCCCGCTGAACATAGCCTATTTCCATACCGTTCCACCCAGTTCTTGTAGTTGGGAATGTCTTTAGCGTAGAGCAGCTTGTTGGAGGGCGAGTCTTTGCCCAGCTTGTGTTCTGAGGTGGAGCAGGAGTCCATGAAGGTCTGGGCCACCACAGACAGACAGGCGTCCGTGATGCTGTTCTTGTGGATGTCGAACACAAACTGGGGGTTCTTGATCACGTTCACCCAGAACCGCAGAGGAAGACTGAAGGGGGGAAGAAGAGAGAAAACATCTTAACCTCCACATTACATTCTTCCTAACACTCAACCTCATACTCCACATTACATTCTCCCTAACACTCAACCAGAGGCGGCATGCACTGTCACGATCGTCTTGAGAATGAGCGGACCAAAGCGCAGCGTGTTGAACGAACATGACTTTATTGAAGAAAGCGCACACACGAAAACAAAACGAAACAAAACACGATCGTGAAGTCCTCAGTGACACAAACACGGAACACAGGAACAAAGGAACAAAAACCCACAAACACAAGGTGAAAACACACACTTTAAATATGGCTCCCAATCAGAGATAACGAGCCGACAGCTGACACTCGTTACCTCCGATTGGGAGTCACAAGACCAATTACCCCAAAAACACAAACAAATGAAACGCACCCATACCCAACACCACCAAATGAAATACACCCTGACTCTAACTACACAGTCCCAGAGCCAGAGTGTGACAGTACCCCCCCCCAAAGGCGCGGACTCCGACCGCGCCTACACCCAAAAAATGGGGAGGGCTGGGTGGGTGTTGCTCCACGGAGGCGGCTCTGGCACTGGTCGTGGTCCCCACCCCACCATAGTCACTACCCACTTAGGTAACCTCCTCCAACTGACCACCCAACACCCTAACCCACCTGGATTAAGGGGCAGCACCGGACTAAGAGGCAGCACCGGACTAAGGGGCAGCACCGGACTAAGGGACAGCACCAGGATAAGGGGCAGCACCGGACTAAGGGGCAGCACCGGACTAAGGGGCAGCACCGGACTAAGGGGCAGCACCGGACGGCTCCGGCGGATCCCGGCTGGACGGCTCCGGCGGATCCCGGCTGGACGGCTCCGGCGGATCCCGGCTGGACGGCTCCGGCGGATCCCGGCTGGACGGCTCCGGCGGATCCGGCTGGACGGCTCCGGCGGATCCCGGCTGGACGGCTCCGGCGGATCCCGGCTGGACGGCTCCGGCGGATCCCGGCTGGACGGCTCCGGCGGATCCCGGCTGGACGGCTCCGGCGGATCCCGGCTGGACGGCTCCGGCGGATCCCGGCTGGACGGCTCCGGCGGATCCCGGCTGGACGGCTCTGGCGGATCCCGGCTGGACGGCTCTGGCGGATCCCGGCTGACGGCTCTGGACGGCTGGGCTCATGGCTGGCTGACGGATCTGGCTGCTCATGGCTGGCTGACGGATCTGGCTGCTCATGGCTGGCTGACGGATCTGGCTGCTCATGGCTGGCTGACGGATCTGGCTGCTCATGGCTAGCTGACGGATCTGGCTGCTCATGGCTGGCTGACGGATCTGGCTGCTCATGGCTGGCTGACGGATCTGGCTGCTCATGGCTGGCTGACGGATCTGGCTGCTCATGGCTGGCTGACGGATCTGGCTGCTCATGGCTGGCTGACGGATCTGGCTGCTCATGGCTAGCTGACGGATCTGGCTGCTCATGGCTGGCTGACGGATCTGGCTGCTCATGGCTGGCTGACGGATCTGGCTGCTCATGGCTGGCTGAGGCGCATCGTAGGCCTGGTGCGTGGTGCCGGAACAGGAGGTACCGGGCTGAGGACACGCATCTCAGGGCTAGTGCGGGGAGAAGCAACAGGGCATGCTGGACCCTGGGGACGCACCGTAGGCCTGATGCGTGGTGCCGGAACTGGAGGTACCGGGCTGAGGACACGCATCTCAGGGCTAGTGCGGAGAGAAGCAACAGGGCATGCTGGACCCTGGGGACGCACCGTAGGCCTGATGCGTGGTGCCGGAACTGGAGGTACCGGGCTGAGGACACGCATCTCAGGGCTAGTGCGGAGAGAAGCAACAGGGCATGCTGGACCCTGGGGACGCACCGTAGGCCTGATGCGTGGTGCCGGAACTGGAGGTACCGGGCTGAGGACACGCATCTCAGGGCTAGTGCGGGAAGCAGGAACAGGGCATACTGGACCCTGGGGACGCACCGTAGGCCTGATGCGTGGTGCCGGAACTGGAGGTACCGGGCTGAGGACACGCATCTCAGGGCTAGTGCGGGAAGCAGGAACAGGACGCACAGGACTCGGGGAACACACAGGAGGCTTAGTGCGTGGTGTAGGCACTGGTGGTACTGGACTGGAGACAGGAGGTGGTGCCGGAAATACCGGACCGTGCAGGCGTACTGGCTCCCTTGAGCACTGAGCCTGACCAACCTTACCTGGTTGTATGCTCCCCGTCGCCTGACCAGTACAGGGAGGTGGAATAACCCGCACCGGGCTATGTAGGCGAACCGGGGACACCATGCGTAAGGCTGGTGCCATGTAAGCCGGCCCGAGGAGACGCACTGGTGACCGGATGCGTGGGGCCGGCCTCATGACATCTGGCTCAATGCTCAGTCTAGCCCGGCCGATACGTGGAGCCGGAATGTACCGAACCGGGCTATGCCTGCGTACAGGAGACACCATGCGCTCTACTGCGTAACACGGTGTCTGCCCGTACTCTCGCTCTCCACGGTCAGTCCAGGGAGTAGGCGCAGGTCTCCTACCTGACTTCGCCACACTCCCTTCTAGCCCCCCCCCCAAGAAATTTTTGGGTAGTACTCTCGGGCTTCCAGCCTTGCCTCCGTGCTGCCTCCTCATATCGCCGCCTCTCGGCTTTAGCTGCCTCCCGCTCTTCACGAGGACGGCGATATTCTCCCGGTTGATCCCAAGGCCCCTCACCATCCAGAATCTCCTCCCATGTCCATGAATCCTTTATGGGAGTCCATAAATCCTGTGTAGGTAGGTCCTGTTGCCGCTTGACACGCTGCTTGGTCTTTTTGTGGTGGGTTTTTCTGTCACGATCGTCTTGAGAATGAGCGGACCAAAGCGCAGCGTGTTGAACGAACATGACTTTATTGAAGAAAGCGCACACACGAAAACAAAACGAAACAAAACACGATCGTGAAGTCCTCAGTGACACAAACACGGAACACAGGAACAAAGGAACAAAAACCCACAAACACAAGGTGAAAACACACACTTTAAATATGGCTCCCAATCAGAGATAACGAGCCGACAGCTGACACTCGTTACCTCCGATTGGGAGTCACAAGACCAATTACCCCAAAAACACAAACAAATGAAACGCACCCATACCCAACACCACCAAATGAAATACACCCTGACTCTAACTACACAGTCCCAGAGCCAGAGTGTGACATGCACCTCAAACATCTACGTGAGGATGGGGGGTGGAGTTGGAGAATATTGAATTTTTCAAACACCTGAATAAAGATTTTTCCTGCAATCTAGAGCCATAATCATTATGCTTAATTCTATGTAAAACTAAATATGCTTCTCTGTATCTCTGCTAAAATCTGGGTAAAAGATTGAAAGGAATGTGAGTCTTATCAGTACATTTAGTTATTGCTTGCTTTTCTAAAGTCTACCAACCTTGCCAGCAGGCATGCCAGCTAAGATAGTTAGACAAGCTACTGTAACTTGATTGATAGCCTGAAATGGCTTCTTGGTAGATAGTTACGAGGTTGGGAACCTATCTGGGCTAGCTAAAGCAAACTACATAAAATTGCTAGGTGGCTAGTAGTATTACAGAGAAAGAAAGAAACAAAAATATATCAATATAAATCTGATGGGGCCCGTGCCCCCTATGGGCATGACGCCTCTGCACTCAACCCCTAAACACTGCAAGGAAAACACTATCATCCACAAACACACTCTTACACCACCTGCCGCACGCATGCTAGTTCCTTCCCCTTCGGTCTCACGCAGACCCAACACACACAAACTGATCCACTCTGACCCACTCACCAGTTGCTCTTCCAGGTGTGCCGTACGTCCAAGTCGGAGATGGAGTGCTTGTCGGCCTGCTCATCCAGGAAGTCAAACATGTACTTGATGGCGAGTGGCAGGGCGCTGCCTCGATGGGCCGTACTGAAGATAGTCTCAAACAGGTCGTCTACAAACTTCTGCAATGTACCCTGTGGAAAGGAGAAAGAGCAGAGAGAGGTTAGGAGATGTGTATCACTGATATCATATAGCTTTGTACTGTACAAATCACTGTTTCTATAAGTTGAAATTGAAAAGTTCCTCTCACTGTGGACACATTTAGACTAAACATATCCTTTGTTCCATATCAGATTATCAACTTTTACACATTATCAAGTAGTCTGTCGTATGGCCCCCTCCCCCTTTTCACACTCCCAAGATGGGGAGAGGACTGTCCGTAATAAAGAGATGCTCTGCTTTTTTGACACCACACACCAAAAAGCAAGTTCTGCAAATCAAATCAAATTGTATTTGTCACATACACGTGTTCAGCAGATGTTATGGCGGGTGTAGCGAAATGCTTGTGCTTCTAGCTCCGACAGTGCAGTAATATCTAAAGAGTAATATCTAACAAATTCACAAAATATATACCCAATACACACAAATCTAAGTAAGGAATGGAAATAAGAATATATACATTTATGGACGAGCAATGACAGAGCGGCATGGACTAAGATACAGTAGAATATTATAGAACACAGTATATACACTGCTCAAAAAAATAAAGGGAACACTTAAACAACACAATGTAACTCCAAGTCAATCACACTTCTGTGAAATCAAACTGTCCACTTAGGAAGCAACACTGATTGACAATACATTTCACATGCTGTTGTGCAAATGGAATAGACAACAGGTGGAAATTATAGGCAATTAGCAAGACACCCCCAATAAAGGACTGGTTTTGCAGGTGGTGACCACAGACCACTTCTCAGTTCCTATGCTTCCTGGCTGATGTTTTGGTCACTTTTGAATGCTGGCGGTGCTTTCACTATAGTGGTAGCATGAGACGGAGTCTACAACCCACACAAGTGGCTCAGGTAGTGCAGCTCATCCAGGATGGCACATCAATGCGAGCTGTGGCAAGAAGGTTTGCTGTGTCTGTCAGTGTAGTGTCCAGAGCATGGAGGCGCTACCAGGAGACAGGCCAGTACATCAGGAGACGTGGAGGAGGCCGTAGGAGGGCAACAACCCAGCAGCAGGACTGCTACCTCCGCCTTTGTGCAAGGAGGAGCAGGAGGAGCACTGCCAGAGCCCTGCAAAATGACCTCCAGCAGGCCACAAATGTGCATGTGTCTGCTCAAACGGTCAGAAACAGACTCCATGAGGGTGGTATGAGGGCCCGACATCCACAGGTGGGGGTTGTGCTTACAGCCCAACACCGTGCAGGACGTTTGGCATTTGCCAGAGAACACCAAGATTGGCAAATTCGCCACTGGCGCCCTGTGCTCTTCACAGATGAAAGCAGGTTCACACTGAGCACATGTGACAGAGTCTGGAGACACCGTGGAGAACGTTCTGCTGCCTGCAACATCCTCCAGCATGTTTGGCGGTGGGTCAGTCATGGTGTGGGGTGGCATTTCTTTGGGGGGCCGCACAGCCCTCCATGTGCTCACCAGAGGTAGCCTGACTGCCATTAGGTACCGAGATGAGATCCTCAGACCCCTTGTGAGACCATATGCTGGTGCGGTTGGCCCTGGGTTCCTCCTAATGCAAGACAATGCTAGACCTCATGTGGCTGGAGTGTGTCAGCAGTTCCTGCAAGAGGAAGGCATTGATGCTATGGACTGGCCCGCCCGTTCCCCAGACCTGAATCCAATCTGGGACATCATGTCTCGCTCCATCCACCAACGCCACGTTGAACCACAGACTGTCCAGGAGTTGGCGGATGCTTTAGTCCAGGTCTGGGAGGAGATCCCTCAGGAGACCATCCGCCACTTCATCAGGAGCATGCCCAGGCGTTGTAGGGAGGTCATACAGGCACGTGGAGGCCACACACAGTACTGAGCCTAATTTCGACTTGTTTTAAGGACATTACATCAAAGTTGGATCAGCCTGTAGTGTGGTTTTCCACTTTAATTTTGAGGGTGACTCCAAATCCAGACCTCCATGGGTTGATAAATTTGATTTCCATTGATAATTTTTGTGTGATTTTGTTGTCAGCACATTCAACTATGTAAAGAAAAAAGTATTTAATAAGATTATTTCATTCATTCAGATCTAGGATCTGATATTTTAGTGTTCCCTTTATTTTTTTGAGCAGTGTACATATGAGATGAGTAATGCAAGATATGTAAACATTATTAAATTGACTAGTGTTCCATTTCTTAAAGTGGCCAGTGATTTATATAGGCAGCAGCAGCCTCTAATGTGCTAGCGATTGCTATTTAACAGTCTGATGGCCTTGAGATAGAAGCTGTTTTTCAGTTTCTCTGTCCCAGCTTTGATGCACCTGTACTGACCTCGCCTTCTGGATGATCACGGGATGAACAGGCAGTGGCTCGGGTGGTTGATGTCCTTGATTACCTTTTTGGCCTTCCTGTGACATCGGGTGATGTAGGTGTCCTGGAGGGCGGTTAGTCTGCCCCCAGTAATGCGTTCGGCAGACCGCACCACCCTCTGGAGAGCCCTGCGGTTGCGGGCTGTGCAGTTGCCATACCAGGCGGTGATACAGCCCGACAGGATGCTCTCAATTGTGCATTTGTAAAAGTTTGTGAGGGTTTTAGGTGCCAAGCCAAATTTCTTCAGCCTCCTGAGGTTGAAGAGGCTCTGTTGAGCCTTCTTCACCACACTGTCTGTGTGGGTGGACCATCTCAGTTTGTCAGTGATATGTACGCCAAGGAACTTGAAGCTTTCTACCTTCTCCACTGTGGTCCCGTTGATTTGGATAGGGGGGTGCAACCTCTGCTGTTTCCTGAAGTCCATGATCATCTCCTTTGTTTTGTTGACGTTGAGTGAGAGGTTATTTTCCTGGCACCACACTCCCAGAGCCCTCAACTCCTCCCTGTAGGCTTTCTCGTCATTGTTGGTAATCAAGCCTAATACTGTTGTGTCGTCTGCAAACTTGATGATTGAGTTGGAGGCGTGCTTGGCCACTCAGTCATTGGTGAACAGGGAGTACACGAGGGGTCTGAGCATGCACCCTTGTGGGGCCCCTGTGTTGAGGATCAGTGAAGTGGAGGTGTTGTTTCCTACCTTCACCACCTGGGGGCGGCCCATCAAGAAGTCCAGGACCCAGTTGCACAGGGTGGGGTTTAGACTCAGGGCCTCAAGCTTAATGATAAGCTAGGAGGGTACTATGTTGTTGAATGCTGAGCTATAGTCAATGAACAGCATTCTTAGATAGGTATTCCTCTTGTCCAGACGGGACAGGGCAGTGTGCAGTGTGATGGCGATTGCATCGTCTGTGGATCTATTGGGGCGGTAAGCAAATTGAAGTGGGTCTAGGGTGACAGGTAAGGTAGATGTGATATGATCCTTGACTAGTCTCTCAAAGCACTTCATGATGACAGAGGTGAGCGCTACGGGGCGATAGTCATTTAGTTCAGTTACCTTTGCTTTTTTGGGTACAGGAACAATGGTGGCCATCTTGAAGCATGTGAGGACAGCAGACTGGGATAGGGAGAGATTGAATATGTCCGTAAACACACCAGCCAGCTGGTCTGTGCATGTTCTGAGGACACGGCTAGGTATTCCGTCTGGGCCGGCAGCCTTGCGGGGGTAACATGCTTAAATGTCTTACTCACGTCGGCCACTGAGGAGGAGAGCCCATAGTCCTTGGTAGTGGGCCGCGTCGGTGGCACTGTGTTATCCTCAAAGCGGGCGAAGAAGGTGTTTAGCTTGTCAGCAAGCAAGACGTTGGTGTCGGCGACGTGGCTGGTTTTTCTTTTGTAGTCTGTGATTGTCTGTAGACCCTGCCACATACGTCTCGTGTCTGAGCCGTTGAATTGCGACTCCACTTTGTCTCTATACTGATGTTTTATCCTGTTTAATTGCCTTGCGGAGTCAGTAGCTACACTGTTTGTATTCACGCTTTCAGTTTTGCGCGAATGCTGCCATCTATCCACGGTTTGCAGGCTCTAGTTTCGTCTAATCTTGATTATTGACCAGTCGTGTGGTCCAGTGCTGCAAGGAAAGACCAAGTTAAGCTGCAGCTGGCCCAAAACAGAGCGGCACGTCTTGCTCCGTCTTGCTCTTCATTGTAGTCTCCTGAGTGGCGCAGTGGTCTAAGGCACTGCATCGCAGTGCTAACTGTGCCACTAGAGATCCTGGTTCGAATCCAGGCTCTGTCGCAGCCGGCCGCGACCGGGAGACTCATGGGCGGCGCACAATTGGCCCAGCGTCGTCCAGGGTAGGGGAGGGAATGGCCGGCAGGGATGTAGCTCAGTTGAGAGAGCATGGCGTTTGCAACGCCAGGGTTGTGGGTTCGATTCCCACGGGGGGCCAGTATAAAAAAATAAATATATATATATATGTATTCACTAACTGTAAGTCGCTCTGGATAAGAGCGTCTGCTAAATGACTCAAATGTAAATGTAATGTAAATGTAATCAGAGGGCTGATATAAATACTATGCATGCCAGTTTCTCTTGGCTAAGAGTTGAGGAGAGACTGACTGCATCACTTCTTTTTATAATAAACAATGTGTTGAAAATCCCAAATTGTTTGCATAGTCAACTTACAGACACCACTATATACAGAAAGTACCCCTGGCCAAGTCTCCTGTCGTCTTTCCCACTCTCACTGTTCATTCTCCAAACTCTCCAACCCCCGTAGACCTAACCTTGCACTTTTTTACCTGTAGGGAAATCATGAGCTAATGAGAAAACAACAGGAGAGAGAAATCACGAGGGTGAGCAGAAACGGCTTAATGTACTTAGCAAGTGCAAATGAGTGCATAGTGGTGTGGCACGTCCTGCGCCCGGTAAATGATGTGCTATCAACGAGGCATGGAGGAACTGAAAGTAACATGGCCTGCCAGTTGATGTCTCTAGTGCTTCTAGTGCCACAGTACTGGGCCGTTGTGCAACGTTCAGATAGCAATATTGTCTACAATAGGTATGCCTCTGACATGTAGAGTGTCCGCTCTATTCATGGAATTTATATCCCTAACTTTTGTTCCAGCCCAGCACAAACACACCGGATGCAACCAATCAACCCACCACCAAGCCCTTGATTAGTCAAATCAGGTGTGTGTTAGTGCTGGGCTAGAACAAAAACATGCATCCCCTAGGGCTTCCCAATAATCAATTAACAAACATTGTTTTGAGAGTACCAACGGAAGGTTTTAGGGTATAGGAGCTAAGAGAAAGCTCCTCTATCCCCCTTCCCGATTCCAACGATCACCAAACAGCTCAACAGCCAAAGGTCAGGCTGCTAATTAAGACAATGTAGCGTTTGGAAGCTGCACCTACTCATGCAAAAGGTTATGAACAATGTTAATGAGCCTCTGAGTCAGTTGCCGTGGAAACAAAGGTCAATGAGAGAGCTGGCTGTCGGAGGAAACAGGTTTGAGCTGGGATGGTGGGTGTTGTTTACTGGTAGAGAGGGGAGAGGTGTGTGTGAGAGAGCGAGAGTGAGAGAGTGAGAGAGGGCGAGAGAGAGAGAGAGAGAGAGAGAGAGAGTGTGCGTGGTACCTTAGTAGCCAATAGCCTGGTCAGGTATATCTCAGAGACCATCTTGCTGCCACGGTCGCCCTCACGCTGGTCCGAGTGGTCGTGGTTCTTGACCAGGTGCCACAGCTTGGTACCACTCTCCAGGTCAGGCGTGATCATGGGTGTCCTGGAACGCAGGCTGTCTGGACTACTGGCCGTCCTCAACATACTCTCTGGATGGGAAAACGGGAGAGAGAGGACATGGTCAGGATTCAGATTAATGCAATATGATGTCAAATCACATAACCAGAGGGTTATATATGAAGAGAAAGAGACGGGGGGGGGGGGGGGGGGGGGGGGGGGGGGGCATCAAGGCAGGGGGAGACAGGCAGAGAGACCCTGGGGAGAGGACACAGACAGGGACTGGACAGTGTGCTTTAGGGTAGTCTCCAGTTACTCTCAGTCCTATGACCAACTTACATAACACACATCACTCCTCTTCACTGTCTAACCTTAATGTCAACACTTGCCACACATTAATTGTTTCTATTGAGATATTTCTAATGTTTAGCTGTGTATTTCTGAAACCTACTCACAGAAAGCACTTAAGAGAATAAAATAGCACGCACGCGCCCGCACACACCTGCGCACGCACGCGCCCGCACACACCCATCTACCCACCCACCTGCCCACCCACACACACCCACACACCCATCCACACCCACACACCGTATCTGTTGAGGGACTTGGTGAAGGTGGAGGAGGTGGAGATGTTGTAGGCAGAGTTCTGCTTGGGCACCAGGGCTATCACTGAGCCGTCCGTCACCTGATTGGGAATACAGGAAACATCATAACAGTTAGAGTTAGACATGCATCTGCACTCTGAATACTTTGCACATGACATACGGTCAGAAAAAGGTTATACACATTGCTACATTGCTGGTGGCTGGAGTGATTGACTAACAATGATGTAACTTTGGATGAATACAACATTTACAGATCGAAAAGATAGAGGTGGGGCTATTTTTATAAAATGTTACTTTCTGTGTCTGTATGACTTTCCACCTTGGTCAGTTTGAATGCCTAGCCCTAAACGTATGCCTAGAAAATGGTATCAAATGTACAGTGGTAAGGATATACCGGCCCCCCTCTGCTCACCCCAGCGCACCTAATAATTTAGCTGACATGTTATCAACTTACGCAGCATCGTATGTGCTAATAATGGGTTGTCTTTAACCTTGATTGGATGACTCAAGTTTCAGACAAGCTCAAGGTATTATGCATTGATCTGAATTTAGCTCCAATAAAATCTACCCTGATTGACATCACACTTACAAATAGACCCCATAAACACACAGCCAGTTGTGTTTGTGGACAAGATATCAATGACCATTTCCCTATTGCCTGTATTACAGATGTAAGACTACCTAAATCCCGTCTGCGCAACATTAACAAAAGGAATTTCAGAAATGTCAATGATCAAGCTTTTTTTGCACGATCTTTGTGACTTGGCGGGTGTACCTGCCATTACTGACCCTAGGTCGGTTCTCGATTATTTCTCGGATATTTTTAACTCTGTTGATGACAAGCATGTTCCCCACAAAGGTTTTAGGGCAGGGATGGGCATCTTTGATGGGAGTGGGGCCATCAAAAAGTTGAACTCATCATGAGGGGCCGCAGTGGCTCGTGGGTCTGCGTATCCACATCCATACACACACATGCAGTCAGAGCCTTTTGGGGGCCCTAAGCGAAGAGGAAGTACATACTGGGATTAACATTAGAACCACTGAAGCAGTCATTTTAAACTGCTCATCAATTTAAACAAGTATTACTCTGCCATTTTTTAAGTCATGCCCCCCTCCGTCCTTGACTTTTCCTAAATAAGTCTATATAACACACTGTCGGTGTTAGAATCTTAATATCACAAACAGAACTGGAGCTATAACCAGTTTTAGGAGGGCATGTCATTTTCAAATGGTTTTCCCCCGTTGGCCCTCCTTCTCCCGACAGTACGGCCTGTTCCCCTCCTTCTCCCGACAGTACGGCCTGTTCCGCTCCTTCTCCCGACAGTACGGCCTGTTCCCCTCCTTCTCCCGACAGTACGGCCTGTTCCCCTCCTTCTCCCGACAGTACGGCCTGTTCCGCTCCTTCTCCCGACAGTACGGCCTGTTCCCCTCCTTCTCCCGACAGTACGGCCTGTTCCGCTCCTTCTCCCGACAGTACGGCCTGTTCCCCTCCTTCTCCCGACAGTACGGCCTGTTCCACTCCTTCTCCCGACAGTACGGCCTGTTCCGCTCCTTCTTCTGACAGTACGGCCTGTTCCGCTCCTTCTCCCGACAGTACGGCCTGTTCCGCTCCTTCTTCCGACAGTACGGCCTGTTCCGCTCCTTCTTCCGACAGTACGGCCTGTTCCGCTCCTTCTCCCGACAGTACGGCCTGTTCCCCTCCTTCTCCCGACAGTACGGCCTGTTCCGCTCCTTCTCCCGACAGTACGGCCTGTTCCCCTCCTTCTCCCGACAGTACGGCCTGTTCCACTCCTTCTCCCGACAGTACGGCCTGTTCCGCTCCTTCTTCTGACAGTACGGCCTGTTCCGCTCCTTCTCCCGACAGTACGGCCTGTTCCGCTCCTTCTCCCGACAGTACGGCCTGTTCCGCTCCTTCTTCCGACAGTATGGCCTGTTCCGCTCCTTCTCCCGACAGTGGAATATAGAGTGCACAGTTGATAATCCCCCAGATAATTGCCGCGAAACTGAACCTAAACCAAAACCAATTTCACATATAACAACAGATGAAATAAATGAAGTAAAGTATGATGGGGGACAATGGGTGAGTTGATGAGCGAGGGGAAGTGAATGATGCATAATTATGTATTCACCAATTGTGAATGAACAGGGCAGGCCATTCTATTGTATTGATCTATTCTAATAATAATATGAAAATGGTATGTACCCTATATCAGTCCACCGAATCCAAGCAGTCTTATCAGTCTACTCTGGCCTACTTGGAGTACACGGTGAGAGCGTGAGTAATTTACAATGGCAAGAAGACCAAGAAGAATGAAGGCACATTCTGCGTTTGCGCTGCTACAAGATCTGAATGAAAACGACTCAGCTGGTGGGGAAGAAATGAATCATGACATCTCTGATGATTATTCTTCTGATTCTGAGCCTCAGCCTGAACCTACACCTCTAAGGCCTAAGCGCAAAAAAGCCACAACGTTGCGCACTGAGCAGGTGCCCGCGCCACCACCAAATAAAACAGTGAGACAGGATAGAGGAAGGGACTGCACCGTTTGGATAGAACAAGCCGGTGACAATGCTATGGGCTGATTATCAGCACAAAAATGTCATCACTGAGAGAGCAGGCCCTTCATCTAAAGCAAAAAACAACATCAGCAATGCACTGCAGGAGACACTGCCTGGGATCTGTTTGTTGATGAGATGGAAGCGTTCATTTCAATCCTTTATGTCCGTGGAGCATTCGGTGGAAAGAGCGTATATTTGGAGAGATTCTGGTCAGACATGTATCGGATACTTTTCTTTGGAGAAACCATGTCACGGGACCGCTTGAGAGAGATCATGCGTTACCTCCATTTTGATGACAAAGAAACAGACAAATTTGCCATGGTATCCGACATATACAGTGGGGAAAAAAAGTATTTAGTCAGCCACCAATTGTGCAAGTTCTCCCACTTAAAAAGATGAGAGAGGCCTGTAATTTTCATCATAGGTACACGTCAACTATGACAGACAAAATGAGATTTTTTTTCTTCAGAAAATCACATTGTAGGATTTTTAATGAATTTATTTGCAAATTATGGTGCAAAATAAGTATTTGGTCAATAACAAAAGTTTCTCAATACTTTGTTATATACCCTTTGTTGGCAATGACACAGGTCAAACGTTTTCTGTAAGTCTTCACAAGGTTTTCACACACTGTTGCTGGTATTTTGGCCCATTCCTCCATGCAGATCTCCTCTAGAGCAGTGATGTTTTGGGGCTGTCGCTGGGCAACACAGACATTCAACTCCCTCCAAAGATTTTCTATGGGGTTGAGATCTGGAGACTGGCTAGGCCACTCCAGGACCTTGAAATGCTTCTTACGAAGCCACTCCTTCGTTGCCCGGGCGGTGTGTTTGGGATCATTGTCATGCTGAAAGACCCAGCCACGTTTCATCTTCAATGCCCTTGCTGATGGAAGGAGGTTTTCACTCAAAATCTCATGATACATGGCCCCATTCATTCTTTCCTTTACACGGATCAGTTGTCCTGGTCCCTTTGCAGAAAAACAGCACCAAAGCATGATGTTTCCACCCCCATGCTTCACAGTAGGTATGGTGTTCTTTGGATGCAACTCAGCATTCTTTGTCCTCCAAACACGACGAGTTGAGTTTTTACCAAAAAGTTCTATTTTGGTTTCATCTGACCATATGACATTCTCCCAATCCTCTTCTGGATCATCCAAATGCACTCTAGCAAACTTCAGACGGGCCTGGACATGTACTGGCTTAAGCAGGATTTGAGTCCCTGGCGGCGTAGTGTGTTACTGATGGTAGGCTTTGTTACTTTGGTCCCAGCTCTCTGCAGGTCATTCACTAGGTCCCCCTGTGTGGTTCTGGGATTTTTGCTCACCGTTCTTGTGATCATTTTGACCCCACAGGGTGAGATCTTGCGTGGAGCCCCAGATCGAGGGAGATTATCAGTGGTCTTGTATGTCTTCCATTTCCTAATAATTGCTCCCACAGTTGATTTCTTCAAACCAAGCTGCTTACCTATTGCAGATTCAGTCTTCCCAGCCTGGTGCAGGTCTACACATTTTTTTTCTGGTGTCCTTTGACAGCTTTTTGGCCTTGGCCATAGTGGAGTTTGGAGTGTGACAGTTTGAGGTTGTGGACAGGTGTCTTTTATACTGATAACAAGTTCAAACAGGTGCCATTAATAAAGGTAACGAGTGGCGGACAGAGGAGCCTCTTAAAGAAGAAGTTACAGGTCTGTGAGAGCCAGAAATCTTGCTTGTTTGTAGGTGACCAAATACTTATTTTCCACCATAATTTGCAAATAAATTCATAAAAAATCCTACAATGTGATTTTCTGGATTTTTTTTTCTAAATTTGTCTGTCATAGTTGACGTGTACCTATGATGAAAATTACAGGCCTCTATCATATTTTTAAGTGGGAGAACTTGCACAATTGGTGGCTGACTAAATACTTTTTTCCCCCACTGTATACTATTTTTGACTGCTGTCATATCGACACATATTCATTATAATGCCATTATTGCTTTTGTACTGACTTTCACTATTTATCAAGCACACTTGCCACTTATAATTATGTTTAGGCTACTGATGTTTTCATCATTTGACCATGCATCTTGGTGGTTGGGGTATTTTGGGGTATTTCTTTTTATTTTGTCACTATAAAAATAAGCTGTTACACTACTCCAGCACATATGCTTTCTGTTTTATAGTTGTAACAAAGGCCCTCCACTAATACAATTGATTGAATACTTGATTTAAAAAATAAATAATTATATAGCCTACAATACCATAATCTAATGTTACCTTAGACCTTCATAAACACAACCAAAATATATTTTTTGCGGTAGCATACTATATATGACATTTATTAATTACACTGCTAGAATGTTGCAGTCAAAATGACTGTTCGTTTGCTTGAAGGGGCGTACCTCGAGGCCCAGCGGTTCTAGTGTTAAACATGGAAAGCTGCGCATGTACTTCCTCTTCACAAGGGCGGAAACCCTAGCGACAAATAACTACCGCATTATATCAATGCTTTCGTGTCTGGCCTAAATACAGTGGGGAAAAAAAGTATTTAGTCAGCCACCAATTGTGCAAGTTCTCCCACTTAAAAAGATGAGAGAGGCCTGTAATTTTCATCATAGGTACACGTCAACTATGACAGACAAAATGAGATTTTCTTTTTTCAGAAAATCACATTGTAGGATTTTTAATGAATTTATTTGCAAATTATGGTGGAAAATAAGTATTTGGTCAATAACAAAAGTTTCTCAATACTTTGTTATATACCCTTTGTTGGCAATGACACAGGTCAAACGTTTTCTGTAAGTCTTCACAAGGTTTTCACACACTGTTGCTGGTATTTTGGCCCATTCCTCCATGCAGATCTCCTTCTAGAGCAGTGATGTTTTGGGGCTGTCACTGGGCAACACGGACTTTCAACTCCCTCCAATGATTTTCTATGGCGTTGAGATCTGGAGACTGGCTAGGCCACTCCAGGACCTTGAAATGCTTCTTACGAAGCCACTCCTTCGTTGCCCGGGCGGTGTGTTTGGGATCATTGTCATGCTGAAAGACCCAGCCACGTTTCATCTTCAATGCCCTTGCTGATGGAAGGAGGTTTTCACTCAAAATCTCACGATACATGGCCCCATTCATTCTTTCCTTTACACGGATCAGTCGTCCTGGTCCCTTTGCAGAAAAACAGCCCCAAAGCATGATGTTTCCACACCCATGCTTCACAGTAGGTATGGTGTTCTTTGGATGCAACTCAGCATTCTTTGTCCTCCAAACACGACGAGTTGAGTTTTTACCAAAAAGTTCTATTTTGGTTTCATCTGACCATATGACATTCTCCCAATCCTCTTCTGGATCATCCAAATGCACTCTAGCAAACTTCAGACGGGCCTGGACATGTACTGGCTTAAGCAGGGGGACAAGTCTGGCACTGCAGGATTTGAGTCCCTGGCGGCGTAGTGTGTTACTGATGGTAGGCTTTGTTACTTTGGTCCCAGCTCTCTGCAGGTCATTCACTATGTCCCCCCGTGTGGTTCTGGGATTTTTGCTCACCGTTCTTGTGATCATGTTGACCCCCCGGGGTGAGATCTTGCGTGGAGCCCCAGATCTAGGGATATTATCAGTGGTCTTGTATGTCTTCCATTTCCTAATAATTGCTCCAACAGTTGATTTCTTCAAACCAAGCTGCTTACCTATTGCAGATTCAGTCTTCCCAGCCTGGTGCAGGTCTACAATTTTGTTTCTGGTGTCCTTTGACAGCTCTTTGGTCTTGGCCATAGTGGAGTTTGGAGTGTGACTGTTTGAGGTTGTGGACAGGTGTCTTTTATACTGATAACAAGTTCAAACAGGTGCTATTAATACAGGTAACGAGTGGAGGTCAGAGGAGCCTCTTAAAGAAGAAGTTACAGGTCTGTGAGAGCCAGAAATCTTGCTTGTTTGTAGGTGACCAAATACTTATTTTCCACCATAATTTGCAAATAAATTCATTAAAAATCCTACAATGTGATTTTCTGGATATTTTTTCTAATTTGTCTGTCATAGTTGACGTGTACCTATGATGACAATTACAGGCCTCTCTCATCTTTTTAAGTGGGAGAACTTGCACAATTGGTGGCTGACTAAATACTTTTTTCCCCCCACTGTATTTAAATAGTTGATAAAAATCTACTTTGCTCCGTAACCAGGAAATGTATCATGAATTCATATCAATCAGGATTTAGACAAGGTCATAGTATCATCTCAGCTGCATCCTTTGTTGATAAAAAGCAGCATTGTTTATTGACCTGTCTAAGGCTTTTGACACTGTGGATGACTCATTGTTATTGCACATGTTGGACTTGATAACGGCGCATGGGGTTGGTAAAACTAATTACATTATGGACAGATCTCAATGTATAGTTGCTGACTGTGTCAATTCGCAGTTCCTCGAGGTCACTAAAGGAGTTCCTCAAGGGTCAATTTTAGTACCTGTACTATTCACATTGTATAAACAATATTGGTTCCTTAGTGAAAAACTGTAAACTTCACTTTTATGCTGATGGCACTGTGTTGTACTCTACTGCCTCCTCTGTGAACCAGGCTATAGCTGATCTTCAAGTACTGTGTTAGATGATGTGGTAGAGATGAGTGAGAAGAGGACTGGAGTTAGAGAAATCCTAATTGACACAACTTCTAAGCGTATACTAACCCATGATCAGTCATACCGCCTCTCCACTGATGGGGAACATCGAGTGAAACCCAGTATAGACAAATGTATTGAAGACTACAAGAACTACATCACAAACTTCACCGTGTCCTTGCCTGCAGAAGTTGAACCACTTGAACTAATTCTGAGGGGAGATCCATTCCTGTTGGAAGATCTGGAATAGCTGACATCCTGAGAGGTGGCTATGGACACCAAGATCAAGGGATATCGATACAGCAGATACTGTGCCATACTAACGAGAGATGGCTGGTGTGTTAAGTGCACTGGACACCAATCTCACCAGCACTAGCGTCACAGTCTGAAGTTCACTTTACAAGCTCCAGGTCTCAAGCAAGGTGACATAAGTATTCAACAAGCAACCTCTGTTACACAGGTGCACTGGCTGCATACAACAAGCTCAATGACTGAAGTTTTTATTGGTGTGATAGCAATAATCTCTGTATAAGCCTATAGTATTAAAGTTGTATGAATTTCCATGTAAATTGACAAAGTACAGTATATCGTATAGTATCATACGATGGCATTTTATTCAGTATTTATTTCCTTGTTTTCCCTCATACACACAATTATTCAATGTATTATTCATTACAGTTAAGATAAGAGACTCTTTATTCATCCCTGAGGGGAAATTGATTATATGACACCCATGAATTTCGGGCTACAGACGCCAAGGGATGTTTGAGTGATCCCCTATGTTGATTTGTAATATTTGTATACATAAAAATAAAATGTGATTGATTGATTAAAAACACATTATTTTATCAACTTTGAGACCAAAACCATGAGACTTGCCTGGTAGTGGGCCAGTGTGTTGAGTCTCTTCCAGTCATTGTCTATCTTGGTGGTGACGTCCTCATCCTGGAGAATGATCCTGGCCATCCTGCCCTGACGCCACTCTGAACACACACCGAACAGAGAGAGAGGGTGTGTTAGTGTCTGTTGAGTGACTCCAGATTTGTTGGGGAGTATGTTAAGTGTATTATGGCATGTTGGCTTGGGTTGTGTGTGTATGTGCGTACGTTCATTTGTGTCCCTTACCCAGGTCCATATCTCCAGCCTTGGGTCTCTGGGAGTAAGGGCTGCCCTTGAACACAGCATCTAGCAGCTTCTCCTTCACCTGGGTCACCGTGTCACAGTTCAGCCCCTTCACTGTCACCTCCGGGGCATTCTCGTTCTCCGGGTTCACACAGTGCAAAGTCTTGGGGGGGGAGATCAAAGGTCAGATTGGGGATGGGGAAGACTCACAGGACTAGAGGCTTGAAGCAGAGTGATTAGTGTGGAAGACGTGAGGTGAACCGCATACACTGTGTGAAACACGAAAGTTCAGCTACTTCAGCTGAAATAACATCTGTAGTCGCTTCATTGACACGTGTGCTCTTGTAGGTAGCTACCTACTGTATTACCTAGCTAGCCAGACGAATGGTTCTAAGAGCAATGCATGTACTCAGTCAGAGAGATAATGTAAAAGTGTCTCGTTTATTTCTGTGATTCAAGCTGTGTTGTGGTACTGACCAGGGTCTTGTAGTCGATCTGCTGTCTGATGAGCTTGTCCTCACTGAGGGAGTAGCGAGCCTCTCCTGTAATTGAGTCTATAGGCCCCTTCTCCATCTGCTGCTTGATCGCACAGTACAGCATGAACAGGGGTTCTCCAGCACACTCCTACACACAGGGTACACAGTATAACATCAACAGTGCGCGCGCACACACACACACACACACACACACACACACAATAAGCATAGTATATCATAAGCTGACAGGGGCCAGTATCCCATCTGTCTGTCATTTCAGCATCTCAAAACCAATAGGAAATACTGTAGACTTGAATGACGACATTCAAGACAATGAGTATGCTTCCTTATTTGAGAAAAAACTGCACTCAAGTGCATTCCAATCTGCTGTTGGCTACACAGTGCCACACAGCTAAACCATAGGGCCTAGCCCCTCGCTTACCCATTCAACAGCTATTGGTGCAGTGACAAGTGACCCACTCCAGAGTAGTATTTTCTCCCTTGTGCATTTTAACCCGGGGAAAAACTGTCTTTAACAAGGTAGAACGTTTTAAAATGTACACTCAGCTTGGAGAAAACGAACAGCCTTATAACAAGGTAGAACGTTTTAAAATGTACACTCAGCTTGGGGAAAACGTACAGCCTTATAACAAGGTAGAACGTTTTAAAATGTACACTCAGCTTGCGGAAAACGTTCAGCCTTATAACAAGGTAGAACGTTTTAAAATGCACACTCAGCTTGGGGAAAACGTACAGCCTTATAACAAGGTAGAACGTTTTAAAATGTACACTCAGCTTGGGGAAAACGTTGGGAGAACGCTAGTGGCAGTTGATAGAGGAGTTAATGGAAGGTTAACGAGTCCTGAGTGAAAAGTGCTGGAGAAGCACTCTGCTGCTTGAAATGTGTCAACGAGGCAATGCAAGGCGGTCGGGCTGGAGGGCCTCTCACCCTCCCGCTTGCTTTCCTCCTCTTTTCCCTCTATCGGTCCGACTACCACTTAGCACAGTGACTCTCACCTCCAACTACAACTGTTTCTTTACTTTCTGTTTTTCTTCTCCTTTCCTTGAGATTTAATATGTATCAATTCAGAGCAAAAAATAGTTTGAAAGTGCCGGTGAACAACCCAACGTGTATAGAGCTTCCCCTAGTAATCTTTGTGGCGTTCTACACTCTTCCTCCTTCCTGCTGCTCCCACCTCGTTATCGTCTGCACTAATTAAACAGACAGCTGTTAACGAGACGTACACACACCCTCTAGTAGCTTGGAAACCAGCTATTATGGGTTGCTTTTGATGGACCTAGCCAAAAATGTGGACCACACGCTTGGCATGACCCCTAGAGGTGTTGAAGAAGCTGTCCAGTAGGATGCCAGTTTTTACAAACACCAGTCTGAACGGAAATGAAAAACAACAACTAATTGAAAGAAAGAGTTACGATCACTCGTGCCACACAGATGCATGGCTGTCTGATGCACTCTCTCCATTCCAATAAGCCTCAAATCTGAAGAACGCGCACGCGTACACACTCACTTTCTCTCTGTGGCTCTCTAGAAAACCCTGAAAGGGGTTATGAAGAAAGAGGCGTTTGCATGTCAGGATACGCAGACGACGAAAACACATGCACACGAACAAACAGTCACACCTTGTTTTTTACGACTGAGTAGAGAGAAGTTGGAACATGAAAGGTAGAGAGATGTAAAGGATAGGAACCTTCTCCCCGTGCCTTATCTGCTCCTGCAACTGGGAGACACTGACGTTTAACCGGTTCGCTAACTTCCCTAGCGCTCTTTCATTCTCCATCAGCACAACCAGCATTAGCGAATAACATAAGCGTAGCACGCTTAAAAAGCCTGTTTGGCACGGCTGCAGGTGCATGTTCATTAAGGCATGCAATGAAAAACGTTTCAAAACGTTTCAATACGTAAAGTGAAAATAAGCATATCTTATTGGATGATTCCAGGTTGTCCCTCTCTGTTTCAGTCAATTTTCCTCGGTTGCTGCCTAATGAACACAACCCGAGTGCATCATTGACAGACTTACCTTGAGGAACTTGTAGAGAAGGAACGTGAACCAGTTGGTGAGCATCTTCTCAGCCACCGACTCCGTCCTATAGGAGAGCGGAGTAGAGAGAAAGGGAGAGAGAGAAGGAGAAATTTAGTCAAATGTCATGTTCTGGCATGGCAAAGAGTTAAACGTCCATAACACAGGACTGATAGAGGAACGACTGTACAAGGCAACTGACTGTACAAGGGTTTGAGATTTTCCTCCTAGTAACAAGCGACCCAACAACCTTAGTGTTTTGTTGCTAGTACCTGAAAGCGAATAGAAACCACTATCCCGGGAAAAGGTATTTAACACGGACGATCACTTACATGAAATTATTCCACTTAAAGCGGTTAGGTTATATCCTTCAATTACACCCAACCCCCTTCTCTCCACACACAAACATATTAACTCGAATAACAAAAACCACAGTTCTTTGCATTTTTTCACTAAAGCAAACCCACCAATCTTCATTAAAAACAAAGCAATTAGTCTAATTTGTTAACTTCTCTCGCTAATCACCAACCTGGAGAGTAATGAGGGGCCTCCAGAAAGAAAGTTAAAAGCACACAAGTAATAAAAGGCATGGTAATTAATGTGACTTACTACGTCTAATACAAAGGAACAGAGACGAGGGAAGTGTGTGTCCTCTACCTCTCTCTCTCTCCATCGCATTATAACCACTATATCTCTTGAATAATACATTCCCTATGGCTATGATTACTCAGAAAATGATGAATCAAGGGCTGTGTGTGTGTGTGTGTGTGTGTGTGTGTGTGTGTGTGTGGTCAGATGCCAGCTAGCGGGTTATCCAGGGTTGAGACTGGGAGCAGAAATTGTAGGAAGAAAAGTTATTAAATCCATTTCCTAGAAATGACTGCTGACTGTTGAGATCTGTTTGATGTGTTTTTATTCCTTCCTTCCTTCCTTCCTTCCTTCCTTCCTTCCTTCCTTCCTTCCTTCCTTCCTTCCTTCCTTCCTTCCTTTCCAAACAGTAGAGGAGAGGTAGAAAAGAGAGAGGAGAGAGGGAGGAGAGGGAGAAGAGAGGAGAGCAGAGGAGAGGGAGAGGAGAGGAGAGGGAGAGGAGAGCAGAAGAGAGGGAGAAGAGAGGAGAGGAGGCGAGGGAGAAGAGAGGGAGGAGAGGGAGAAGAGAGGGAGGAGAGGGAGAAGAGAGGAGAGGGAGAAGAGAGGTAGAAGAGAGAGGGAGAAGAGAGGAGAGGGAGGAGAGAGGTAGAAGAGAGAGGGAGAAGAGAGGAGAGCAGAGCAGAGGAGAGGGAGAAGAGAGGGGTAGAGGAGAAGAGAGAGGTTAGAATAGAAGAGAGAGAGGAGAAGAGAGGAGAGGGAGAAGAGAGGAGAGGGAGAAGAGAGGAGAGGGAGAAGAGGAGAGGTAGAAGAGAGAGAGGAGAAGAGAGGAGAGGGAGAAGAGAGGAGAGGGAGAAGAGAGGAGAGGGAGAAGAGAGGAGAGCAGAGGAGAGGGTGAAGAGAGTAGAGGAGAGGTAGAAGAGAGAGGGAGAAGAGAGGAGAGCAGAGCAGAGGAGAGGGAGAAGAGAGAGAGGAGAGAGACAGGTAAAAAGTAGAGTGGACCAGGACAGAACATGCTTTTGGCCACTACCTGACCTGATACTAGTGGACAACAACTCCTTAATAATCAGGCTAAGTGTGTGTGTGCGAGCGCTCGCCTGTGTGTCATCTTCATATTACTGGGGACAGAGTAACCATGACAGCGTATTGCCACATCTCTCCAGAGGACCTTTTAGTGACATCATGCCAATTTCACCGCGGCAGCAGACTGGCTCAACATCGTTTATTTGATTAGATTTTAATTACATATCTCTCAGTGGAGACGGGAAAACATCCAGTTTTTATCATTTCATGTTTAATTCCCATTTATGTGGAGCTGGTTCATTTCTCTCTCTTTATGTGTCTCCATAATTTATTCTTCACGTCTCTCTCAGTCTCTCCCCTTTTCTGCCTTAACATTCCATTCTCTCTCCCTCTCCTCATTTCTCTCTTTCTATCTCTCTTTCTTGCTTGACCTCACTCTACCTCCATCTTTCTCCGTCTGTAATCTGTCCTTCGTAATTTGTCCAAGTGCTCTGTTTCTTCCTCCCTCTCTCTCTCCTCCCTCTCTCCACCAGTGTCAGTCTTTCCCTCACTTTCGGCACTCCACACCCACACCTCCTTTCAGGCTTTCTCCTCCCTCCCTCCCTCCATCTGTTTGGCTTAGTAGTTCTTTCTGCCCTGTGTGGCTGGCTGTCTGTGTGTCTGGGCCCCCTCAGGGAGACTGTGTGTTCAGGGGTGTAATCCTTCCTGACAGAGACAGGGCTGAGGTGGAGAGGAGTGGGGGAGAGGTACTGCATTCACCTCAGGCGGACCTAAAATACTAAAAGGTGGGCTACAGTTACTGGCCGTCTACAGTGACCCTCTATAGTCTCAGCACACATTACAATGGCTAACTGCTAACTAAAACGGCTAACTTGTTCACTCCTAATCTCTGTGGACGCGGTTCACACCTACGCTATGGCAGATCAATCCTGTCGTTCCTGTCTACCAGGCTATGGCTGATCAATGCTGTCTCATTCCTGTCTACGAGACTACCAGGCTATGGCTGATCAACCTGGCTCGCTTCTGTCTACTGATCAATCCTGTCTCGTTCCTGTCTACCAGGCTCAATTCTACCCCCTATAGGCTACACCAGCGTTTCAACTCATGATCAAGCTTTGATTATTTGAATCAGCTGTGTAGTGCTAGGGCAAAAACCAAAACGTGCACCCCTTGGGGTCCCCAGGACCGAGTTTGGGAAATGCTGGAATACGCAAATAGCCTAGCCCAACCCAACCCACCTTTATTCATACCTTAACACAGGTAGGACGTACCTTCTCAACAGTAGCTTGGGGTGGTTCTTGCTCTCCAGGTTCTTGTCGATGAGGTCGGACAGCAGCTGTTTCAACACCCCCGTGGCGTATTCCATCTCTCCCTGGAGCGCCGTCATGACCAGCGATGCCACATTGCCGCGGTCACGCATGGAGAAGGAGCGTTGGGCCTCCAGCGTGCGGATAAAGGTCAACAGGAAGTGCTTCTTGGTGAGCAGCTGGCCGAACAGGGTGAGACCCTTCTCCACATTGGCCTGGACCTATAGTAGGAGAGAGGGACCGATGGAGGAAGAGGGGTGGAGGAGAGAGGGAGAGAGTGTTGATGGACAGAGCACTTTTATATACTTTTTAGGTCCTAACTTACAAATACACTACATGACCAAAAGTATGTGGACACCTGCTCGTCAAACATCTCATTCCAAAATCATGGGCATTAATATGGAGTAGTTCCCCCCCTTTGCTGCTATAACAGCCTCCACTCTTCTGGGAAGGCTTTCCACTAGATGATGGAACATTGCTGCGGGGACTTGCTTCCATTCAGCCACAAGAGCATTAGTGAGGTCGGGTACTGATGTTGGGCGGTCGGCGTCCCAATTCATCCCAAAGGTGTTTGATAAGGTTGAGATCAGGGCTCTGTGCAGGCCTGTCAAGTTTTTCCACACCGATCTAGACAAACCATTTCTCTTTGAGCACGGGGTGGACCTCCCTCTCTCCATCGCTCTATCCCTCTCTCCCTCTATTTATCACTATACAGTTACTGACCAATACCTCCGATCTCCTTGAGTACGGGGTGGACCTCCCTCTCTCCCTCTATTTATCACTATACAGTTACTAACTAGTACCTCCATCTCCTTGAGCACGGGGTGGACCTCCCTCTCTATCGCTCTATCCCTCTCTCCCTCTATTTATCACTATACAGTTACTGACCCGTACCTCCATCTCTTTGAGCACGGGGTGGTCCTCGATGCCGGGGAAGAGGACCCTCATGGCGTAGGTTCTGTAGTCCAGGAAGGGGATGCCCGTTCCGTCCAGCTCCTGGGTCAGCTCATGGATATCTGTCTGAAGCTCTGCAAAGGCTGGGGGGAGGGAGGGGAGAGAAAATTGATATATTGTTATGTAAATAATGATTATCTAGTTGTCCAAAGAGGGCTGGACACAACTCAAAGTGATGCCAAATGGTGTTACCAATCAAACTAAACATCCCCCAAAAAGTGTAGAAATGTGTAACTATTACAACTGTGCTATATAAATCAAACCCCCACATACATTCAATAACTGAATGAAAATGAACTTATACATAACCAAAGCATATACACACAAACAGATGTGATTGCAGCCACACTCACACTATCCAGGAGCTCTCCACACAGCACAGTACCCACATGATATATCAGTGTCCCACTGTGTTCATACACATGTTCCACTCTCCACATGCCTGTGTCCTGTGACCCTTTCTATGTCCCATCCATTCCTTTCAGTGGCATCTAAAGGAGTGAGAGGAATCTTTCTGTATTAAGCTGCTATGTATCTTGTGGCCTAATCTTGACTAATGAAACCCCACAAACAAATAATGAAATAAACACCTTGCCTAACAGATGGCACCTTCATCCCTCTCTCTCTCTCTCTTTCTCTCTCTACACAAAGAACAGTCTCAGAGGTCACACTCTATCCATCTGTGACCCCTTCTCAATCTATCCGGCTCTCTGTGACATCCCTCTCGCCCTCTAGCCATCTCCCCCTTGCTCCCTCTCTCTATCCATCTCTCCCCTCTATACCTGTGTCTCCCTCTCACCTACCCTCTGTCTCACTAGCCATCTCTCCTTCTCTCTGGCTCTATCCATCTCTCCATCTATGTGGCTCTATCCATCTCTCCATCTATGTGGCTCTATCCATCTCTCCATCTATGTGGCTCTATCCATCTCTCCATCTACAGTGGGGAGAACAAGTATTTGATACACTGCCAATTTTGCAGGTTTTCCTACTTACAAAGCATGTAGAGGTCTGTAATTTTTATCATATGTACACTTCAACTGTGAAAGACGGAATCTAAAACAAAAATCCAGAAAATCACATTGTATGATTTTTAAGTAATTAATTGGCATTTTATTGCATGACATAAGTATTTGATCACCTACCAACCAGTAAGAATTCCGGCTCTCACAGACCTGTTAGTTTTTCTTTAAGAAGCCCTCCTGTTCTCCACTCATTATCTGTATTAACTGCACCTGTTTGAACTCGTTACCTGTATAAAAGACACCTGTCCACACACTCAATCAGACTCCAACCTCTCCACAATGGCCAAGACCAGAGAGCTGTGTAAGGACATCAGGGATAAAATTGTAGACCTGCACAAGGCTGGGATGGGCTACAGGACAATAGGCAAGCAGCTTGGTGAGAAGGCAACAACTGTTGGCGCAATTATTAGAAAATGGAAGAAGTTCAAGATGACGGTCAATCACCCTCAATCTGGGGCTCCATGCAAGATCTCACCTCGTGGGGCATCAATGATCATGAGGAAGGTGAGAGATCAGCCCAGAACTACACGGCAGGACCTGGTCAATGACCTGAAGAGAGCTGGGACCAGAGTCTCAAAGAAAACCATTAGTAACACACTACGCCGTCATGGATTAAAATCCTGCAGCGCACGCAAGGTCCCCCTGCTCAAGCCAGTTTGTTTGGAGGAGGAAGAAGGATGAGTACAACCCCAAGAACACCATCCCAACCGTGAAGCATGGAGGTGGAAACATCATTCTTTGGGGATGCTTTTCTGCAAAGGGGACAGGACGACTGCACCATATTGAGGGGAGGATGGATGGGGCCATGTATCGCGAGATCTTGGCCAACAACCCTCCTTCCCTCAGTAAGAGCATTGAAGATGGGTCGTGGCTGGGTCTTCCAGCATGACCACGACCCGAAACACCCAGCCAGGGCAACTAAGGAGTGGCTTCGTAAGAAGCATCTCAAGCTCCTGGAGTGGCCTAGCCAGTCTCCAGACCTGAACCCAATAGAAAATCTTTGGAGGGAGCTGAAAGTCCATATTGCCCAGCGACAGCCCTGAAACCTGAAGGTCTGTATGGAGGGGTGGGCCAAAATCCCTGCTGCAGTGTGTGCAAACCTGGTCAAGACCTACAGGAAACGTATGATCTCTGTAATTGCAAACAAAGGTTTCTGTTCCAAATATTAAGTTCTGCTTTTCTGATGTATCAAATACTTATGTCATGCAATAAAATGCAAATTCATTAATTAAAAATCATACAATGTGATTTTCTGGATTTTTGTTTTAGATTCCGTCTCTCACAGTTGAAGTGTACCTATGATAAAAATTACAGACCTCTACATGCTTTGTAAGTAGGAAAACCTGCAAAATCGGCAGTGTATCAAATCCATCTCTCCATCTTTGTGGCTCTATCCATCTCTCCATCTCTCCGGCTCTATCCATCTCTCCGGCTCTATCCATCTCTCCATCTATGTGGCTCTATCCATCTCTCCATCTTTGTGGCTCTATCCATCTCTCCATCTTTGTGGCTCTATCCATCTCTCCATCTTTGTGGCTCTATCCATCTCTACATCTTTGTGGCTCTATCCATCTCTCCATCTTTGTGGCTCTATCCATCTCTACATCTTTGTGGCTCTATCCATCTCTCCATCTCTGTGGCTCTATCCATCTCTCCATCTCTGTGGCTCTATCCATCTCGCCATCTCTGTGGCTCTATCCATCTCGCCATCTCTGTGGCTCTATCCATCTCTCCATCTCTGTGGCTCTATCCATCTCTCCATCTCTGTGGATCTCTCCATCTATGTGGCTCTATCCATCTCTCCATCTCTGTGGCTCTATCCATCTCTCCCTATGCCACTTTCTCTCTTTCCCTCTCTTTCTCTCTCCCTCAGTCCCTCTATCTACCTGTGGTGACTGTGGGGGACAGACAGGGTGGTGACCCCTGGATGGACTGTCAAATGGTGTCTGTTGCCATGTGGTGCTGGACATAGACGGACACTGTGATAACAGAGACCACAGCCTGGATTCCTGCATTATCTGTACAATGCATTGATAGTATGAGTGCTTCATATCAAACCAGTCTTGTTATCCTGGGTACCAGTCTGTTTAGCTAACATTCCACTCCTTGTACTCTGTATCATTGTTTGGCAATGACACGAAGAACAATGAGTGGAATGTTAGCTAAAGAGACTGGTACCCAGCCTTCAGTCTTGGCATCTTGTGAAAATATCTACGGATAGCATGGGTAACATTACATTTACATTTACATTACATTTACATTTACATTTACATTTACATTTTAGTCATTTAGCAGACGCTCTTATCCAGAGCGACTTACAGTTAGTGAATATATATATATATATATTTTTTTATACTGGCCCCCCGTGGGAATCAAACCCACAACCCTGGCGTTGCAAACGCCATGCTCTATCAACTGAGCTACATCCCTGCCGGCCATTCCCTCCCCTACCCTGGACGACGCTGGGCCAATTGTGCGCCGCCCATGAGTCTCCCGGTCGCGGCCGGCTGCGACAGAGCCTGGATTCGAACCAGGATCTCTAGGTTCATCGAAATGCAGGACAGATGGGGCAGTATAACTCCCCTTATGGATCCCTCAAATGTACTGTACACTCCCTCTCATTCTCTCAGTCTTTCCCATCGCTTTCTCTTTTACTGTTCTTACGGAACCCTCAAACATCTCTACCCTCACTCTCTACTCCGGCACTGCCTTTCTCTTTATCTAACCTTATGGAACCATGAAATCAATCTACTCTCTCTCTACTCTCTTTCTCTCTGCATCTACGATCTACTCTCTATCTACTCCTTCTCCAAACAGAGAAACACACTGACAGTATCACTGGCCTCCAACCGGATCAAAAGTATCTGCCAAATGAACAAATGTTAATGTGAGAGCATGCAGACACCGCTACCTCTCCCTCTCTCCATTTTCCTCCCTCTCTCCATCATTCCCCTTTCTCTCGCAGTCTCTCCCTACCTCCCTTCTCTCCTCCCTCCCACCATCTCTCCCTCTGTCTGAAACAGAAAAGCCAACCAAGCAGACCTCTCAACATCTGGTGGTGGGCAGCGGAGCCCCGATCAAAGTGTCCTCTGGATGGGTACCAAGAGCAAGCTGAACCCAGCGGGAGGGCCATTTTGTGTGTGTGCGTGCGTGTGTGCATGGAGCCTCCTTGTCCTGTGCAGATCAATATAATTGTATTGAATGAAATTGATTGACAGATGCTTTGGCTTACCCTCCTTGCACTCCAGTGCCACTCGGGACTCCAGGTTGTCCATCTGCAGCTGCAGGCGTTTCAGCGTGCGGTCGGCATCCCGCGACTTCCTCTTGTAAGCGATGAGCACGACGATGATGACCAATAGGAGCAGGCCGCCGCCCCCTCCGATGCCGATGATGGCGGGCAGGGTGAGCAGGCTGTCAGAGTAGATCTGGAGGGTACCGGGGGAGTACTCAAAGCCCCCCACACGTACCTGAGAGGGAGACACACACACTCGTTTAGATTCTTTGTGGGACAATGAATATTATGGAACAACACATGTTTGGATTGTTGGTTTGGGTGGACAAAAGACAGGTGGGCAATAGACAGGAGTGACCAGTTCACCCAAAAACAGATAGTGATAACAGTGCATTAGAAATAATTGACACACACAGAATTAAATCACAGCTAACACACAAATGTGTATGTGTCCCTGTGTGTGTGTATGTGTGTGTGTGTGTGTGTGTGTGAGAGTGTGCGCATACTTGTGTGTGTCTATGTGCATGTGTGTACGTGAACGTATGTCAAACCTGGTTTTAGTTTCCTTTCCTTGTCACAACACCCAGACTAGAACTTATATTCTTACATTCATGCCATATTGCTTTCCCTAGCCCTAGCTTCAACTCTATACTTAACATTGCATAAAAAAACTAGACTATTGAGATGCAGCCCCAATTCCTTTCCTTGAGACAACACTGTAGTGATCAGTGCAGATGAAGGGAAGGAGATGAGGAGAGGAAGCCACATTAGACTATTGAGCTGCACCCTTAGTAACCCTGTCTATATCAAAGACAACATGTAACCGAGGGAGTGTAAAATATAGATATGGACCCCTTTTTTTCATAAGCCATTTCTCGGCTGCATTGAATATCAATATCTATGCAAATCCCTGCAGAATTGAAGCCAAGTTAAGAATTTAATTTGATAGGTTGTCTAGGATACAAACACAGATGAGACTCTGGTAGCAGAAGCCTCAATGTGTGTATGTGGATTTGTATACAGATGTAGGATCTTAATTTGATCACCCTGTTGCAGGATTACTTTCCTGCAAAGCATGAAATGTAAAACTTGTAGTGTATTCAAGGTTTAAAAATGCTTCCGAAGTTTGTAATTTCCACAATTACATTTCTGACTTGATTTTCCCTTACGAATAATATATTAACCCCTACAAAAATGTCTATTAATTATGATCCACATTAGTTGGGTTGGGTTTGACTTTTCCTAAATCCGTCCTTGACTTTTTCTAAATTTACTAAATAAGTGCATTCGGAAAGTATTCAGACCCCTTGACTTTTTCCACATTTTGTTACGTTACAGCCTTATTCTAAAATTGATTAAATTAAAATTTTCCCCTTATCAATCTACACACAATACCCCATAATGACAAAGTAAAAACAGGGTTATATACACTACCGCTCAAAATGTTTGGGGTCACTGAGAAACTTCCTTGTTTTCGAAAGAAAAGCCATTTTTTTGTCCATTAAATTAACATCAAATTGATCAGAAATACAGTGTAGACATTGCTAATGTTGTAAATGGCTATTGTAGCTGGAAATGGCTGATTTTTTATGGAATATCTACATAGGCGTACAGAGGCCCATTATCAGCAACCATCAGTCCTGTGTTCCAATGGCACGTTGGCCATTCTATTGTGTTGATCTATTCTAATTTTTATCTCAAAATGGTATGTATCAGTGCACCAAATCCAAGCAGTCTTATCAGTCTACTCTGGCCTACTTGGAGTACACGGTGAGAGCGTGAGTAATTTACAATGGCAAGAAGACCAAGAAGAATGAAGGCACATGCTGTGTTTGCGCTGCTACAAGATCTGAATGAAAACGACTCAGATGGTGGGGAAGAAATGAATCATGACATCTCTGATGATTATTCTTCTGATTCTGAGCCTCAGCCTGAACCTACACCTCTAAGGCCTAAGCGCAAAAAAGCCACAACGTTGCGCACTGAGCAGGTGCCCGCGCCACCACCAAATGAAACGGTGAGACAGGATAGAGGAAGGGACAGCACCGTTTGGATAGAACAAGCCGGTGACAATGCTATGGGCTGATTATCAGCACAAAAATTTCATCACTGAGAGAGCAGGCCCTACATCTCAAGCAAAAAACAACATCAGCAATGCACTCACCAGCTTTGGTTTTTTATGTGATATGGACATGCTACAGCATAAGGGACTGTACTGTGGCACACAGGGAGCAAGGAGACACTGCCTGGGATCTGTTTGTTGATGAGATGGAAGCGTTCATTTCAATCCTTTATGTCCGTGGAGCATTCGGTGGAAAGAGCGTTTATATGGAGAGCTTCTGGTCATGAATGGGATACCTTCCTTCAGAGAAACCATGTCACAGGATGGCTTCTGAGAGATCATGTCACAGGATGGCTTCCGAGAGATCATGTCACAGGATGGCTTCCGAGAGATCATGTCACAGGATGGCTTCCGAGAGATCATGTCACAGGATGCTGATTTTCACTATTTATCCAATCAATTCCCATTTTGGCACTCATAATGATGTTTAGGCTACTGATGTTTTCATCATTTCATGCGCGACTTGCAGACCGTGCATCTTGGTGGTTCGGGTATTTTTTTTTATGGTGACGTTATAAAAATAAGCTGTTAACGTGTTTCAACACGTATGCCATCTGTTTCATAGCTGTAACAAAGGCACTCCACAAATATAATTGATTGAACACTTGAATTTTTGTATTTACATTTAGCCTACAGTAACGTAAACAAATTAAAATGCTATTGTGTAAAAGCATTTTAGAAAGGAAAAAAAAGGATTCCAATGTTATCTAAGACCTTCATAAACACAACCAAATTATTATTTTTGCGATAGCATATATGAAATGTATTAATTACACTGTTAGACTGCTCATTAGCTTGCTGGGGGCTTCCTCGAGGCCCAGCGGTTCTAGTATTAAAGGGATGAATAGAAGAGGATAGACAAGAAGTGGCAAGAGAAAAAGAGGAAAGAATAGACAACATAAAGAGGGGTATATGATATGAGAAAAGAGGAGACAGGAAACTGTCATGTTAAATTGAAAAAGTATAGAAGAGGGAGGAGTTAGAGAGAGAGAATGCAAGATGAGCAAAAACTAGAGGTTAGACAATGAGAGATGTAGTGAGATGAAATGCTAAATGTGAAAAGAATATGATACAATACGGTGTGATACAATGCCACATAAGACAGCAACCCAACATTAACCAACCCAACATTACACAACTCAACATTACCCAACCCAAGTCAACATTGCCCAACCCAACCCAACATTGCCCAACCCAACATTACCCAACCCAACATTATCCAACCCAACATTACCCAACCCAACATTACCCAACCCAACATTACCCAACCCAACATTACCCAACTCCACATTTCCCAACCCAACTCAACATTACCCAACCCAACTCAACATTACCCAACCCAAATCAACATTACCAAGCCCAACATTATCCAGCCCAACATTACCCAGCCCAACATTGCCCAACATTGCCCAACATTACCAAACCCTGCCCAACATTACCCAATCCTACCCAACATTATCCAACCCAACATTACCCAACACAACATTACCCAACTCAACCCAACATTACCCAACCCAACAATACCCAACCCAACATTACCCAACTCAACCCAAACCAATCACAACTCAACATTACCCAACTAAACATTATCCAACCCAACATTACCCAACCTGACATTACCAAACCCAACATTACCCAACCCCACCCAACATTACCAAGCCCAACATTACCCAACCCAACATTACCCAACCCAACATTAACCAACCAACAAAGTCAAAGAGAGAGAGGATACAGTAGACTACTTACGGTAACTTTGTGTTCTCCAGTGAGGTTGGGCCACTCACAGAGCAGCTGGCTCTCTGACAGGGTGAGGACACAGGGCGTGTCACCGATCAGCACCGTGTAGTTGAGACGAGAGTTACCAGGGGCTGCCGGTATCAGGTTCTTACCCTGGGAGAGACAGAGACAGACACACAACATTAGACACACAACTGAAGAGAATGCATACAGTGAGGGAAAAAAGTATTTCATCCCCTGCTGATTTTGTACGTTTGCCCACTGACAAAGAAATGATCAGTCTATAATTTTAATGGTAGGTTTATTTGAACAGTGAGAGACAGAATAACAAAAAAAAAATCCAGAAAAACGCATGTTAAAAATGTTTTAAATTGATTTGCATTTTAATGAAGGAAATAAGTATTTGACCCCCTCTCAATCAGAAAGATTTCTGGCTCCCAGGTGTCTTTTATACAGGTAACGAGCTGAGATTAGGAGCACACTCTTAAAGGGAGTGCTCCTAATCTCAGCTTGTTACCTGTATAAAAAGACACCTGTCCACAGAAGCAATCAATCAATCAGATTCCAAACTCTCCACCATGGCCAAGACCAAAGAGCTCTCCAAGGATGTCAGGGACAAGATTGTAGACCTACACAAGGCTGGAATGGGCTACAAGACCATCGCCAAGCAGCTTGGTGAAAAGGTGCCAACAGTTGGTGCGATTATTCGCAAATGGAAGAAACACAAAATAACTGTCAATCTCCCTTGGCCTGGGGCTCCATACAAGATCTCACCTCGTGGAGTTGCAATGATCATGAGAACGGTGAGGAATCAGCCCAGAACAACACGGGAGGATCTTGTCAATGATCTCAAGGCAGCTGGGACCATATCACCAAGAAAACAATTGGTAACACACTACGCCGTGAAGGACTGAAATCCTGCAGCGCCCGCAAGGTCCCCCTGCTCAAGAAAGCACATATACAGGCCCGTCTGAAGTTTGCCAATGAACATCTGAATGATTCAGAGGAGAACTGGGTGAAAGTGTTGTGGTCAGATGAGACCAAAATCGAACTCTTTGGCATCAACTCAACTCGCCGTGTTTGGAGGAGGAGGAATGCTGCCTATGACCCCAAGAACACCATCCCCACCGTCAAACATGGAGGTGGAAACATTATGCTTTGGGGGTGTTTTTCTGCTAAGGGGACAGGACAACTTCACCACATCAAAGGGACGATGGACGGGGCCATGTACCGTCAAATCTTGGGTGAGAACCTCCTTCCCTCAGCCAGGACATTGAAAATGGGTCATGGATGGGTATTCCAGTATGACAATGACCCAAAACACACGGCCAAGGCAACAAAGGAGTGGCTCAAGAAGAAGCACATTAAGGTCCTGGAGTGGCCTAGCCAGTCTCCAGACCTTAATCCCATAGAAAATCTGTGGAGGGAGCTGAAGGTTCGAGTTGCCAAACGTCAGCCTCGAAACCTTAATGACTTGGAGAAGATCTGCAAAGAGGAGTGGGGCAAAATCCCTGCTGAGATGTGTGCAAACCTGGTGGCCAACTACAAGAAACGTCTGACCTCTGTGATTGCCAACAAGGGTTTTGCCACCGAGTACTAAGTCATGTTTTGCAGAGGGGTCAAATACTTATTTCCCTCATTAAAATGCAAATCAATTTATAACATTTTTGACATGCGTTTGTTGTTATTCTGTCTCTCACTGTTCAAATAAACCTACCATTAAAATTATAGACTGATCATGTCTTTGTCAGTGGGCAAACGTACAAAATCAGCAGGGGATCAAATACTTTTTTCCCCTCACTGTAGGTGCATAGGAACGCATTTGCACACCACATACTAAAAACACACACATTCTGTGTACACGCAAGCATGCACGCGCACCCTCTCACCATCACTTACAGTGCCTTCAGAAAGTATTCATACCCCTTGACTTATTCCACATTTTACTGCAGTACAGCCTGAATTCAAAACAGATTAAATATTTTTTCTCTCTCACCCTTCTACACACAATACCCCATTATGACAAAGTGAAAACATGTTTTTTGAAATTTTAGCAAATTTATTTTAAATGATCATACAGAAATATCTCATTACCCCTGAGTCAATACATTGTAGGAGCACCTTTGGCAGTGATTACAGCTGTGAGTGTTTCTGGGTAAGTCTCTAAGAGCTTTCCACACCTGGATTGTGCAACATTTGTCTACTATTCTTTTCAAAAGTCTTCATGCTCTTTCAAATTGGTTGTTGATCATTGCTAGACAACCATTTTCAGGTCTTGGCATACATTTTCAAGCAGATTTAAGTCAAAACTGTAACTCTGCCACTCAGGAACATTCACTGTCTTCTTGGTAAGCAACTCCAGTGTAGTTTTGGCCTTGTGTATTAGGTTATTGTCCTGTTGAAAGGTGAAGTCATCTCCCAGTGTCTGGAGGAAAGCAGACGGAAACAGATTTTCCTCTAGGATATTGCCTGTGCTTAGCTCCTTGACGTTAATTGTTTCATCCTGAAAAACTCCAGTCCTTAAAAATTACAAGCATACACGTAACATGATGCAGCCACCACTATGCTTGAACATATGGCGAGTGGTACTCAGTAATGTGTTGCATTGGATTTGCCCCAAACATAACACTTTGTATACAGGACAAAAAGGTGAATTGCTTCGCCACATTTTTTGAAGTATTACTTTAGATGCCTTGTTGCTAGCAGGATGCATGTTTTGGAATATTTCTACTGTATTCTGTACAGCCTTCCTTCTTTTCACTCTGTCATTTAAGTTAGTATTGTGGAGTAACTACAATGTGGTTGATCTATCCTCAGTTTTCGCCTATCACAGCCATTAAACTCTTTAAAACAGTTACAGTCACCATTGGACTCCCTGAGCGGTGTCCTTCCTCTCCGACAACTGAGTTAGGAAGGACGCCTGTATCTTTGTAGTGACTGGGTTTATTGATAAACCTTCCAAAGTGTAATTAATAACTTCACCATGCTCAAACAGATATTCAAGGTCTGTTTTTATTAAATTTTTACCCATCTACCAATAGGTGTCCTTCTTTGCAAGGCATTAGAAAACCTTCCTGGTCTTTGTAGTTGAATTTGTGTTTGAAATTCCCTGCTCACTGAGGAACCTTACACATTATTGTATGTGTGGGGTACAGAGATGAGGCAGTCATTCAAAAATCATGTTAAACACTATTATTGCACACAGAGTGAGTCCATGCAACTTATTATGTGACTTGTTAAGCATATTTTTACTCCTGAACGTATTTAGCCTTGCCATAACAAAGGGGTTGAATACTTATTGAATCAAGACATTTCAGCTTTTCATTTTTAATTAATTTGTAGGAAGCAGTGTTTGTATACAATGTAGTACCATACCTACATTGTACTTTACGAAAGCTACATGCAGGCTACAGCACATCTCGTGAATTCTTATGTAGATTATAATAAATTGACACATTTATTTGCAGGGCGTAGATATATTTTTTGTTCGAGAAAATAATTATTCTTAGATCAATTGTTTTATTATATGTTGAAGGCAAGCAATAGGCAGAATAAATGGTTCCCTTCATGCCTGTGTAGTCCAGCGGTTACAGTGTGCCAGAGTGAGCATGGGTTCGAATCGGCCCACTGCCTTTTGTGAAATGGATTCATGTTTATTTTTGACGCATTCATTCAGCATGGTTACAGGGTTAATTCCACGTGGTTACAGGGTTAAAACAGAAACAACTCAAAGGTTAATAGTTTAGGCATTATTTCCGAGTGGTTAAGGTTAGGGGCGGGCTATGGTTTGGGGAAGGCATAAAACAAAATAATTTCAAATGACGCGCCTATGTATCATCAGTATTCATAGTATTCTTAGTGCTTGATAGAGCATTGTGACCTGACATAGTGCAGTGGTCTAAGCAGCACGCTCTGGCGCCGAGCCTCATGAGTTTGCGCCCGGTGCTGGATGATCTAGTGACAAGCCTGAGCCTACATTAGGCCCACAAGTTAATCACATTTATTTCAATGTTTTCAAGAAGCAAAACGAATAGTCTGATAATCAGAAAAGTGTCTCAGCAGCCCTAACCACTGGACCACCAGAGGCCACAATTGAACTCAATTTTGAAAGTTCATTCTTACCCTTAAGATACACTTGACACTTGTATGTCGTAGCCTACTGGAGACCAATATCTATCTTGTGTTATTAAACTATATATACAGTTGAAGTCGGAAGTTTACATACACCTTAGCCAAATACATACTCAATACTCAGTTTTTCACAATTCATGACATTTAATCCTAGTAAAAATTCCCTGTCTTAGGTCATTTAGGATCACCACTTTATTTTAAGAATGTGAAATGTCAGAATAATAATAGAGAGAATGATCTATTTCAGCTTTTATTTCTTTCATCAATTTTGGCCCATTCCTCCTGACAGAGCTGGTGTAACTGAGTCAGGTTTGTAGGCCTCCTTGCTCACACACACTTTTTCAGTTCTGCCAACAAATGTTCTATAGGATTGAGGTCAGGGCTTTGTGATGGCCACTCCAATACCTTGACATTTTGCCACAACTTTGGAAGTATGCTTGGGGTCATTGTCCATTTGGAAGACCCAAGCTTTAACTTCCTGACTGATGTCTTGAGATGTTGCTTCAATATATCCACATAATTTTCCTTCCTCATGATGCCATCTATTTTGTGAAGTGCACCAGTCCCTCCTGCAGCAAAGCACCCCCACAGCATGATGCTGCCACCCCCGTGCTTCACGGTTGGGATGGTGTTCTTCGGCTTGCAAGCTAAACCCTTTTTCCTCCAAACATAACGATGGTCATTTTGGCCAAACAGTTCTATTTTTGTTTCATCAGACCAGAGGATATTTCTTCAAAAAGCATGATCTTTTGTCCCCATGTGCAGTTGCAAACCTTAGTCTAGCTTTTTTATGGCGGTTTTGGAGCAATGGCTTCTTCCTTGCTGAGCGGCCTTTCAGGTTATGTCGATATAGGACTTGTTTTACTGTGGATATAGATACTTTTGTACCTGTTTCCTCCAGCATCTTCACAATATCCTTTGCTGTTGTTCTGGGACTGATTTGCACTTTTCGCACCAAAGTACGTTCATCTCTAGGAGACAAAACGCGTCTCCTTCCTGAGCGGTATGACGGCTGCATGGTC